CATTGATATTGTCAACGTCGTCATCATAAAGAACTGTGAGAGGCCGAAAATTGAGTTGTGCCTAGATTTCACAAAGTAAGGTAGCAAATTCTTCGTAAGTGAGCCTAGTTTCGCCTAAAACACGTCGGAGGTGAAATTTCGTTGTTTTAACTGCGGACACCCAAATTCCTCCGAAACGTGGTGCACCTGGTGGGATTAGATGCCAGTTGATGAATGAAGTGGCCATATATGACCCGACATCTCGAGATTTGGACATCTGTTTGAAACTCTTCATTAGTTCGCGGTTGGCGCCAATAAAGTTTGTGCCATTATCGCTGTGCATATCGGATGGCAAACCTCTGCGGGAGACAAATCTTTTTAGAGCTGCTATGAAAGCGTCTGTAGTCAGATCTGAGACAACTTCAAGATGCATTGCGCGTGTAGCAAGGCAGACAAAAACAGCGATATAACCTTTGATTGGAGCAGCATTGCGACCTTTGTGAACCTTCATCAAAAAAGGGCCAGCATAGTCGACGCCAGTGCGAAGAAATGGTCGCGCTTGAGTAACGCGGCTGGGGTGAAGATCTGCCATCTGCTGAGAGCAAGTCACAGCACGGTAGCGGGTGCAAACTACACACTTGTTTATTTGTTGCTTGACTAAACGACGGCAGGAGGTGATCCAAAACTGTTGGCGTAAAATATTGAGTAGTAATGTTGGACCTGCGTGAAGATTTGTTAGATGCTGAGAGACAATGATTCCCTGAGCTAGAATGCTGTCCTTTGACACGATGATTGGATGTTTAGTTTCGACGTCACAGTGTGCATTCCTTAGTCTGCCGCCGACTCGGAGAATTGACAGTGAATCGATGAATGGAGAAAGCTTAGCAATTGAACTTTTAGTAGAAAGTTGTTTGTGCCTTGATAGTTGTTGTATCTCTTCGGAATAGTATTGCGCTTGAGACCACCGCACGCAATGCATGAGAGCCTTATAAATTTCTGCTGCAGTATAGCTCGTTGGAAAAGTAGTGTTGCTCTCGCGCCTTCTTATGACAACACGATTCCACGCCGAAATTGTAAAAAGTACCTTGTTTAGTGTCGAGTAACGATTAAAAAGTAAATTGATGACATCAATCTGCTCAGTGGCCAGGAAGGCGAAGCAAGTATTTTTTTCGTTCCTCAGCCGCAACTTGGCTGTTCATATCAGGTGCATTGTGAATGGAGCGCGGCCAGGTTTGCTGTGGCTGAGCAAGCCAAATGGGCCCGCGCCACCAAAGATTGCAGTTCAAGAGCGTTTCTGGCTCCAGGCCACGAGTAGCCACATCTGCTGGATTGTCTGCTGATACCACATGTTGCCATGATGGGCGAGGGATGGGTTCGATAATTTAGGCAACCCTGTTGGCAACATATGTTTTCCAGCGCCGTGGATGTAAAGATAGCCAGCCGAGTACAATCATCGAGTCTGTCCAAGCTATGCATTCAACATCGCCGAGCTCCGTTGCGCCTTTGACAGCCTTGAAAAGTCTGGGAAGAGACATCTGCTTCAGTGGAGCAACCTTTGTTTTGGCAGTGAGCAGGAACACCTTGGCGCCCTCAGCTGTTGGAATGCGGCAGTATACTGCAGCTGCATAGGCCATCTGTGAAGCATCTGAGAAACCACAAAGCTGGAACTTATCTCTGGGGCTAGTGTGTACCCATCGCGGTATTCGGAGCGAGTTGAAGCAAGCATAGTTCTGCCGAAATGTAAGCCAGCTCTGCGATAACGCAATGGGAATATCTTCATCCCATTGAATATCGTGTAACCAGAGTAGCTGAAACATGGTTTTTAGTAATACTGTACACGGTGACAGAAAGCCAAGTGGGTCGTAGATTTTGGACGACTCCGATAGGATAACTCTTTTGGCGCAGGCATTGACGACTGGCGCGACTTTGAAGGTAAAACAGTCATTGAGTGGTTGCCAATGCAGGCCCAGAATCTTCAGACTGCTCTCGGTATCAATTTCAGCGATGTCCACATCAGACGTTTGCATATCAACATTTTGAATTATGCTGAGATCATTTGAAACCCATTTTGAGAGCGGGAAACCCCTAATAGCAAGCGTCTTGGTGATGTCTGCTTTTAAGTTGATGGCTTCTTCTACGCTGTTTGCGCCTGCAATGAGATCGTCAACATAAAAGTTATTTTTGATCATAAAACCTGTTTGAGGCTCATCAGCATCTTTGCCCGCAGCGTAGATGCAGCGTGTGGCAAGGAATGGCGCGGTAGCTGTTCCATAGGTGACAGTGCGGAGTCTATAGTGTGATATTGGTTGAGCAGCGCTAGTTCTCCACAGGATGCGTTGATAGTCTCTGTCGTCATGGTGAACAAGTACTTGTTGGTACATTTTGACAATGTCGCCACAGAGGCCGATACGATATCGTCTGAAGTTCAGCAATAACGATGTTAAATCACGCTGGATGGTAGGGCCCACTGCAAGTGAATCGTTCAGAGCTGCACCTGATGCTGATTTGGCGGATCCATTGAATACCACTCTGCATTTAGTTGATCTGCTATCAGGCTTTAAAACTGGATGGTGCGGTAGATAGAAAACCTTTTCACAGTTCTTGTTGACCTCAGAGGCAGGGATTTTTTTCCATATGTCCCAATGCAATGTATTCCTCCATGAAGGCCTTGTATTGATTGAAAAGAGATTCATCGCGTTCAAAGCGCCTTTCAAGACTTGCAAACTGCTTGCGAGCCGAAGTGTAAGAGTCACCTAGGCGCGGTGAATCATCTCGGAAAGGGAGTTTTACAATATACCGACCAGCATCATCGTAGCCATGCGTTCTTTGGAAATGATTTTCGCAAAACTGTTCTTCCGGAGTATAAAGTTTTCTCAGCACTTGCGGCTCGTTCTCTGTTTCCCAAAAGCGACATAATGCTTGATCAACTTTGAAGTCATTAATTGAGGCAGTGACAGAGTATGAACAGATATCCTCCCCGCCGTTATGCACTTTGCCAGCAAGTACATAACCAAAGATAGTATTTTGGATGGTTGGAAAGCCTGTTTTGCTGGTAAATTTTCCATCAGTAAGAAAGTCGAAGAAACGTTGTGAGCCAATGAGAACATCTATTGGCTGAGAGATAAGCGAACCGTCGTCTGCCATGTTCAGGTTTGGTGGAAAATCGCAATGAGACGTGTTGACCGGATCTGACTTATCCTGGTGTGAAATGCGATTCAGAATAAAAGCATCAATGTTGACTGACACGTTGCTGTCGAAACGTGATGTGAGCTGCAGTGATACGATACCTCTTGTAATAACTGATTTTGCTCCTCCAATTCCACCAACCTTGATGCGCCCGTTTTTACGCGAGAGCCGCAATCGTTGGACTAGATCTTCAGACACAGATGTTCCCATTGATGCTGAGTCCATCAGCACCTTGCAGACCGACGCTCCGGTGGTATTGGTGTTTGAAGCTTTCACGACCGCTGTAGGAAGCGCAACCCTTTGATTCACCATATTGCTTTGTATTGAAAATGTGGATAAGGGAGGCTGACTGTTTGATGTTTCACCTCTAGAGGGGGCATCTATGTGAAGGCATGAATGATTTGTCGTCCACATAGGTAGCATTTTTGCTTAGAGGTGCAATTGCTGACTCTGTGCTCTCCGGAGAGGCAATTGTAGTACAAGTTATCATTCTTCACGAATTCTCGCTTTTGAGTTACACCCAGCGATTTGAATTTAGGACACTTGTAAAGATGATGCGCACCATCGCAGCTGGTGCACGTTGCAGGTGTGTGATTAGAATCTGTTGCTATGAAACAGCGAGCACGAAAAGAAGTGGAAGCGCCGCTCTTATATGTTTCCATGCACTCAAGAGCTGACCATCTTTTGTTTAAAAATTCTATAAATTCTTCGATTTTTGGATGATCCTTGGACCCTTTGTCGCTTTCTGCCCATTGGCGTTTTGTGTCATCATCCAACTTTTTTAATAGCATGTATATTATCCAGGGATCTCGGCTTTCTGCATCTGCTCCTAACGATTTCAGCCCTCTCAAGATGCAGTATGTGTTATCAGCTAGCGTGCGGATTGCCACAGCTGACGGCTCAACTACGCTTTTGAGCTCGAAAAAAAGATTTTATGTAGGAGATGATTATGGGTTTTTGCTTGTCATACCTCTCGCATTGCTTGCTCCAAGCTCTGTCGTATGCTTCATTTGAGCAAACAATACCCGAAATCACCGTTTCAGCGTCGCCTTTCAGATACATTTGCAGGTACTGGAATTTTCGAGATTTAGATATTGTATTTACGTTGTGTACAGTGTTTAAAAACAGATCTTTAAAAGTTGGCCACTTGCAGTACTCCCCATGGAAGGCAGAAATGTACAACTTTGGTAAACGTGTATCGCAGCTGCCAGCTTGGTCAAGCATACTGCGCTGAGTTTCTGTGAATCGGTTGAGGGTTGTATTTAGATCTTTCACTCCAGTACTTGAGATGATAGCTGATGGGGTGGAGCGAGTGGCTAGCAATACGAGAAAGCGTTCTTTGAGGTCCAGATAGACATCTTCCTGCGAAGAATATTCCGACACTTGGTCATCATGCGATGCGATTTTATTGTCGACATCTATAAATTCTTCCCATAAGGCGTCAAGCCGGTCGCACTGGATCTTCAGCGCCTCATAACTTGTAGACTCAGTTGCTGCTAAAACATAACTTCTATATTTTGTGAAAGAGCCTTTTATTTGCCCGCGCGTACGAATTAAATTTGGGACTTCCATTAATTTGCGTTTGGTTTTGTATAATATGTGAATTTTCGCCAAAGGTCTTTTGACAGATAAATTATGTGAGAGCGCTCTGAGACAACAGTTAGGCTGCGCTTCTTTTCCACCGTTTGATTATAAGTACAAGACGAATTATTGTTTCTCAAATTATCGCTCACAGTAACAACGGCATTTACTTACGTATGTACATACATGAGTGAACGTCAGATAAATAGGAATAGCTTTTGAGTTTTTGTTTTGCCTTTTGAGTGATTTCCTTTTTATGTGTTATTTTTTTTTTCGGGAGGCGAATTAAGAGTGAATTGAGGTAAACCGCAGACTGAGGATAACTGTTCAGGCTACACACAATGCAGCTTTTAATTTTAGTTTTGTCCGTACACGACCTTTTCGCTAGGTTGGGATGTCTTTTTTTTTGGTATTTTTGTTTCAAGTGGTTCAAAGCCAATCGGGCTCGAATGACCAGAAAATGTTGCCGATATTTACAAAGTGGACTGTAACTATGGAGTGACGTTGATTACACCGAGACAATGCAAACACAAGTTCGCTGCTTGGCTGATAATACGGAACTGAATTTATTGTAACAGACTAGAAAGGGTGAAATAAACAGAGTACTTCATATAAAGGACAGTGATGTTAACATGGAACATTTAATGGGGATAAAACGTTGAATAATACATAACTTTAGACATATCATAAAACCAGAACAAGAGCAAAAACAAGATTCACATTAGATATCTTGAGAATAATGTAGAAAAGGGACAATGCAATGAAAATTGCCGCAGTTTATTTATTATGTTTATAAATATTGGTAGTATTCAGTTCAGGCAAAGCGTTGGTAACGATTTTTAGTTTTATGTTCAGAGTTTAATTTTAAATGTAATGTAAGTTAACAACTCTTTTGTGTTAAACTTTACTATTTATTTCTTGTGTATTCATACGTTTATTAGTTATTTATTAAATTTAGGCATAATAATACAATTAAATACTAAAGGAGTACTAGCTGCAAGGTATCTCATTTTGACATTCTTGTCACTTAATTGTGAATAAAAGCGAAACGCGTCCATCGATTTTCATGATCTATGTCTCATTTTGCTTAAAGGTTATGTGACTTTGCGTAAAAGTAATACGACTTGCCTTTTTTCCGTTTTGGATTTTTTATGAATTTAAAAAATAAAAAAATTTTATATTTTAGGCAAAAAATATTTTTTTCTTCATACATTTATTTTTACCGGCAAAACTATTGATTATATAGAAAAACGTTATATGAACAGAATAAAGGAATTGTAATTTTTAATTTTTTTTTAATTTGTTTGAGCAAAATCGGACTAGTGGTTCTCGAGTTATGTCAAAAAAAAGACCACCAAAAGTGACAATTTCCCCTATATGATAGTTACTAACTTCAAATCGATATATCTCGATTCCTAGACGTGACCCAGCGAAACGCCGGGACACGTATAACTTCTTTTCTACCGATATAACTTTCCCCGGTAGTTTGAACCCTTCCCGATCACTGACCCCTACGATTTGTCTCACAGTGTAATCGTTGTTTTGAGCAAAAAATAAAACTCAGTTAATAACGATTAAATAGTGATTTTTATAATAAAAGTTATAACCGTTACGGTCCCTGGTATTTTTACATGATTTGAAACGAAACTAAATTATATTTTGAGCTGGTATTTTTGTCGGTCCACAAATACGGGAATTGACGTCTTTAGAAAAAAAGCATGGAAAAGTTTTTCTTCTGTGTGTGAAAACTTTCTTGGAAACACAAACAGTGAGCATTATGAACACGTAGTAAGTGGCATGATGTCTGCCTACCATTCATGCAATATGTCCATTAAATTGCACCATCTGCATGCTCATTTGAATATGTTTCCATAAAATTTAGGCCAGATGAGCGATTAACAAGGTAAACTAAAGATTGAACAGCGTTAGTATGCTCTCGCAACTACTGTTGGTCTCTTAAAAGAGATACCTGCAGCAATTTATACAAAAAACAAACAGAACGAAAATATTTCTTAGAAAAAAGAAAACACAGATATACTTATAATCACTAAATACAGCATTACTAAGCCATTTGTTATTATACCTTTCATGAACATGAAATGGTATTATAACTTTGGTCCGATGTTTGTAAATACCAGAATAAGAACAGATAGACCCATTAAAAAGTATACTTAAATGATCACAACGTCGAGCTGAGTCGATTTAGCCATGTCCGTCTGTCCGTCTGTCTGTCTGTCCGTCTGTTTGTATGCAATCTAGTCTCTCAGTTTTCCAGATATGCGGATGAAATTTGGTAGGTGGATGTATTTTTATAATGTATGAATCATTTGTTGGAACCGGACGAATCGGACCACTATAACATATAGCTGCCATACAGCTGATTGTTCAGATATGAGATATTTCGTTATAAGTTCTCCATTTATGCAGCTAGGAACATGAAATTTTGCAATACTTCCACCCATTATCAATAGAAAACTTAAAGTGAAAATTACTAAGATAGCTCCCATACAACTGATTGTGCAGATATAAGATTTTTCGTTATAACTCCTCCACCTAAGTAGCTAGGAACATGAAATTTGGCAGTGTTGTCACTCAATATCAAAAGAATGCTTTCAGTGAAAATGACGAAGATCGGGTCGCTATAACCTATAGCCTCCATACAACTGATTGTTCAGATATGAGATTTTTTGCGATAACTTCTCCATTTATGCAGCTAGGAACATGGATTTTCCCGCCGCTTTTACTCATTGTTAACAAAATACTAATAGTGAAAATAACAAAGATCGGGTCTCTATAACATATATCTCCCATACAACTGATTGTTCAGTTATGAGAATTTTTAGTTATAACTCCTCCATTTATGCAGCTGGGAACATAACATTTCGCAATATTTGCACTGCAGAGGTGCACGCAGTCGACGTCGCGGGCAAACTGCGCGCACGCGAGCGTGCTAGGCGAGGTGAAGTGAGCTCTACGGAGATGGCATCGTATACATATTAACCACTACACACTTATTTTCAAGTAAAAATGCGTGTATGTATGTGTACTTTTGCGACAACTGAGCCAGTGTGGCATCTGGCCACCAGAAAAATCCAATTTTTCCAAACCAAAAGCGCCAAGTATTTATTATCATGTTTAATCATTTTTTTGATTCAGTAAAAAGTGTATATACATATCCATTTCCTCACGTTTTTATTACTAAATTAATTTCGATACATTTATAACAACGCAAAACATATTTAATTTACCTATTCCTCACATTTTATTCAGTAAATGAATTCCATCTTAATGTAGAATATTAGTGTGTAGTGCATACATACATACATACATACATACATATGTACTTATGCATTCGGTGTGCTTAAATTAAAAAAGCATAAATTAAAAAAGCATAACCGCACCAAGCATTGAATTCCAATTATTTTGGCTTTTTGGTTTCCCAAAAGCACTAAATTTAGTGCAAAATGCACGACCCTGGCAACAGTGAGCTGAGCACATCAATGCTCAAACCGTGATGCCAGACCAAGTATTGAGTAAATGCGCTATGTATATTTTTCTTTTAAAGCAAAAGTTGTAATTGGCGAGGGTATTGATTTTTGGTTCTTACATAGAACACTGATAAGATTCACAAACTTATCTTAGGACTTAATTAAAATAATCAACATTATTTGTAGACGAATATATTTGTGTTCGTATGAAATAGTAGCCTATGTCGGGAGGCTGGATTTAGT